AGATGAGATGCCACTAGTTCTTCACGTTCTGCAGTGTAGATGCACTGGTTCTTCACGTTCTGTAGATGTAGATGCCACTGGTTCTTCACGTTCTGTAGATGTAGATGCCACTGGTTCTTCACGTTCTGCGATGTAGATGCCACTGGTTCTTCGCGTCTGCAGATGTAGATGCCACTGATTCTTCGCGTCTGCAGATATAGATGCCACTGGTCTTCACGTTCTGCAGATGTAGATGCCACTAGTCTTCACGTTCAGGCAGATGTAGATGCACTAGTTCTTCACGTTCTGCAAAGGTAGATGCCACTGGTCTTCCCGTTCTGTAGATGTAGATGCCACTGGTTCTTCACGTTCTGCAGATGTAGAGGCCACTGGTTCTTCGCGTTCTGCAGATGTAGATGCCACTGGTTCTTCACGTTCTGCAGATGTAGATGCCACTAGTTCTTCACGTTCTGCAGATGTAGATGCCACTGGTTCTTCGCGTTCTGCAGATGTAGATGCACTGGTTCTTCCGTTCTGCAGATGTAGATGCACTGGCTCTTCACGTTCTGCAGATGTAGATGCCATCACCCGCCATAGATTACGTGGCAGTTGCAACTTACGACTCTCGGTCCGAACAGGCAACTGGACCTACGGACGGGTGTGTTCGTATCTCTGAAAGTGCGTAAGTCGAATTGTTCGTAAGTAGACGAGTCCCTGTACGTTGCATCGCCTCATTGCAAGGCGCTGCTGTACAACAACAATCGTAACATTGCACGACCGATGATAGTGGTCGAGATAGAGAGAGTGTGGGAGGGCGGGGGGAGTTGGGGTTGGGGTTGGGGGGGAGTACAGCCCCCCAGCTCCCCCAGCGTTGTAATAGTCTCACGCTGGGCAGTAGTGGCACACGTAAAGGTACTTGGCAGAGGCCTCGCAGTAGTTGACGGCGCAGCCAACTGGTAGGAGCTGTACCACACCACCTGCACGCACGCACGTGGCACGGGGCAGCGACGGGTTAAAGCGCAGCACCTGCAAGTGCACCGCTCGCTCGCACCAAACTGCTGGGGGTGGTGGTGGTGGTGGGCGGTGGGAGATCGAGAGAGCGCCCCCCCCCCCACCACTACTACAACTACCTCCCACCACCCACTACCACCCACTACCACCACTACCACCACCACCCACCACCACCACCACCCACTACCACCCCACCCCCCATCACCACCACCTCCCACCACCAGAGGGTGCGGCGATTTGATGGGTTGTGCTGCACTTGTGGTGGTGGTGTTAGTTGTGGTGGTAGTGGTGGTAGTTGTGGTGGTGTTGTGGTGGTGGTGGTGTTATTTGTGGTGGTGGTGGTGGTGGTGGTGATAGTTGTGGTGGTGTTAGTTATGGTGGTGTTAGTTGTGGTGGGGTGGTAGTTGTGGTGGTGTTAGTTGTGGTGGTGGTGGTGTGTTAGTTGTGGTGGTGGTTTTAGTTATGGTGGTGTTATTTGTGGTGGTGGTGGTGTTAGTTGTGGTGGTATTAGTTGTGGTTGTGGTGTTAGTTGTGGTGGTGTTATTTGTGGTGGTGGTGGTGTTAGTTGTGGTGGTGGTGATATTAGTTGTGGTGGTGGTGTTAGTTGTGGTGGTATTAGTTGTGGTGGTGGTGTTAGTTGTGGTGGTATTAGTTGTGGTGGTGGTGTTAGTTGTGGTGGTGTTATTTGTGGTGGTGGTGGTGTTAGTTGTGGGGTGGTGATATTAGTTGTGGTGGTGGTGTTAGTTGTGGTGGTGTTAGTTGTGGTGGTGGTGGTGTTAGTTGTGGTGGTGGTGATATTAGTTGTGGTGTTAGTTGTGGTGTTAGTTGTGGTGATGTTAGTTGTGGGGTGGTGTTAGTTGTGGTGGTGGTGTTAGTTGTGGTGGTGGGTGTTAGTTGTGGTGGTGTTAGTTGTGGTGGTGGTGTTAGTTGTGGTGGTGTTAATTGTGGTGTTAGTTGTGGTGGTGTTAGTTGTGGTGGTGGGGTGGTGTTATTTGTGGTGGTGGTGGTGTTAGTTGTGGTGGTGGTGGTGGTGTTATTTGTGTTGGTGGTGGTGTTAGTTGTGGTGGTGTGGGGAGCGGTAGTGTAGCGGTTAGCGCGCTGCGCTACAAACCCGGCCACCCGAGTTCAATTCCCACTCGCGGCCAACACCCAGTGACGATTTATCTGAACCGGTCGTGGGCCTCCCCTAGGTCGACTCAGCCTCAAACGAGTACGTGGGTGGCGGTGTGTAAACATCGCCACTGGGGAGACTTCGCATGGCCGCACACACCCAGGCAGCACACCACGTCCAGTATACAACTCGCTATGGACTGTGGCTACTGCCGGTCACGTGCCGACTTCTCCCAGTCTACCCAGAAAGCATCACCACACACACCACGCAGCATACCACACACACACACACACACACCACCAACACCACACACACCACACCACCACACACACACACCACACACACCACACACACCACACCACACCACACACACCACACCCCACACCACACACCCACACACACACACACCACACCACACACACCCACACACCACCCACCACACCACCACCACCCACACCACCATACCACACACACACACACACCACACACACCACACCACACACACCACACACCCCACACCCCACACACACCACACCACACCACACACCCACACCCACACCACACACACCACACACACCACACCACACACACCACACACACCACGCAGCATACCGCACAGCATACCACACACACACACACCACGCAGCACACTACGTAGGACACCACGCAGCACACCACGCTCCGCACCTGAGTGTAGTGGCCGATCATGCCATGATCCCCCAGTCTACCCAGAAAGCATCACCACACACACCACGCAGCATACCACGCAGCATACCGCACAGCATACCACACACACACCCACACCACACACACCACACACACCACACACACCACACACACACCACACACACCACACACACACCACACACACACCACACACACCACACACACCACACACACCACGCAGCACACCGCGTTCCGCACCTGAGTGTAGTGGCCGATCATGCCGGGCCCCTTGGCTCCCTTGCCGAACTCGAAGCCGGGGCTGACCACCTCGCTGTGCCAGTCGCGCACCGCGTAGTCCCAGGTGAAGGGCGCGCTCGAGATGAACAGGTTCTCGCCGCAGGTGAACGCTGGTGCGGGGGGGTGGTGGGGGGGGTGAGGGGTGTGGTGGGTGGTGGTGTGGGTGGGTGGTGTGGAGTAGGGGTGGTGGTGGGTGGTGGTGGGAGTAGGGGGTGGTGGTGGGTGGGTGGGTGGGTGGAGGGGGTGGTGGTGGTGTGGTGGTGGGTGTGGGAGTGGTGGTGGGTGGGTGGTAGGGAGTGGGGGTGGGGTGGTGGGTGGTGGTGTGGGGGTGGGTGGGTGGTGGGGGTGGTGGTGGTGTGGTGGTGGGGAGTGGGGGTGGGGGTGGTGTGGGTGGTGGTAGGTGATGGGTGGTGGGGAGGTGGGGTGGTGTGGTGTGGTGGTGGTAGTGGGTGGGAGGTGGTGGGGAGGTGGGGTGGTGTGGTGGGGGGGGTGGTGGAGGGTTTCGACGCATTTATACTTACGCGATCTAACCCAAAAACCTTATTTATGAACCTATTCTTATTAATTCATCATTTTTTAATACTGGAAAAAAAGATCCCCTAGATGTAACTGCTCCACCAGATGTATAAATACACTGATACTTGCGTTGACTTTGAACTGTTCGCCCATTGGTGTTGTTCTGTGGTCTAACACCGGCGGTGAGACAATGCCATCAACAAGGCTTTCTGCCTCTGAGTGGAGGCCAATCAGTTTCAAAGACAATGCAAACATTCTATTATACTGGTAGGAACCTCCTGGTTACACCAGCCCACAGGGGATTATTGTGTCCGTCCGTCGTGCATCCAAAAATGGGAGGGGAGGGGCTGGGTGGGGGGTAGGAGGGGTGGGGCTGGGTGGGGAGGGGTTGGTCACCCCGTGGTGTCCTTATAAAACTCAACGTTTAACCTACTCACGCCGGCTTGTGCCCGCCCTCACAGTGGGGCATATTTGCGGAATACACCACGCCGCCGTTGACCCTGGCTATTGACCGAGCAGCCCAACGTTCCTACCAGC